TTTTCTTAGAAGCGTAGGGAAAGAGATATGTTTTTCGCAATCATTTCCATTCTGAGGTTACCCTGCGAACAGAGTGTCCTTTACCTTCCCCCGAGAGAGAGAAAGGAAAGAGTAAGGTAAATTTTCGAGCCCAAACTTTTTCTGYAGATGGAGAATCCTCTGTTCAATTTTTGTGTGGTGTTTTTGAGCCGATGGAGCCACCATAACACTGGTTCTCAGAGAGACGGAAGCTTGCTTTGGGGTTTGCGACCAAGACTCGTTTATGCTGGCTCAATTTGACCGTAAAAAAATCTTACCTCAACGAAAAACGTCTTTCTTCTATCAGCATTACAAAATATTCTATTTTAGTCAAACCGAATCCACGGACTTTCTCCTGTCTTACAATGACTAAACCCCAAATAGTCTTCTGCTCTATTCAAAGTATCCAATGTGCCCAGCACATTTGACACGTTTTCCTGTGTCAAAACTTGCTTCATTTATTATTAAATATAGATGCAGCTGCTATGGAAAGTGGGTTATGTCTAGTACAAACTCCTAATAATGCRGCAGTGTTAGAGAGTTTTATGAAATGTTAATGTTAATAAACGAGCAGGAGTGTTTTATCAGGATTTAAAAACACGAGGCGTAGCCGATTGCTTTTAGGCCTGATAAAACACGATCTGCCAGTTTACTGAACGGTTAAAAAACTGATGATRTATGTTCTCATATTGTACTGAATTCTTTACGAAATGAAGCAAGTTTGATAGAGAAAATCCAAGTAAAGTTTATGCAAATGAAGATGAATCTATATCAGATATAAAACCTCCTTCGTGGTCATGATTTCTATTGTGTTTCCTTCATGAATTATTAATGAGTTTTTTAATATACTACTAAAATCTTGCTGACTTTTAGTAATCTGCAATTTCTCAAAATGTATTCTTCTATTTGGATAGGGGATGCTTTGAAGYTTATACTTCTCACCGAGATTAATTTAGAGAAAAGCTTACGACCTTTATTAAGATCCGTTTCCTAAGATTAAATGATTTATTTTTGTTGCATGCAAAGTAAACGCACGCAGGAACCAGACTCTTTCTCCTACTTCCTCGTATTATTATTGACTTACTTATTCTATCCCCAGTAGAGTGTTTCGATTCATAAATATTTTTATATAATATCTTTGCATCATCTTCTATACATTTTTTTTTTAGTTTTTCATCTTGACATTTGTGTGTTATTAAATTATAGACATTATAAATATTTTATACAGTGATAAACTGAAATAATTTATTTACAAATACTCAATTGTTGTCACATCATTCAAAGCAATGCCATGCTTACGATTTGCTTGATATAAAATTCTTTTTAGTTTACTTGCACTTTCTTTATTGTTTCGTCTGTTCTTACCATTTAAAATCCTTGTACAAGTGAATAAGTTGTCCTTTGAATTTTTTTTGTTCTTTGAGGGAACTTTTAAAATACCATCATTATCTCAGTACTGTAGTCAGTTGTCTGTCAGGCGTAAAGTTTGCACATGAAAATCTCAGTCTGACGGCCGCTTTTTCGCGTTAAAATTGCCATAATTCTTTTTTTTTATTTATTTATTTATTTTTTTATCTGTACCGTTCAAAACCTCAATTCCTTTCCTTGATACAGTCTTGTCTTTTCTACAATTCCTTTTTAAAAATATTTTTAGAGCACAAGGAGAGATTTCAACGAAACTTGATCATGCACTTGTTTACTTTTCGCTACTCGCTATCTATCACAGGATAGATAGTGAATACGTTAGCCAATCAGATTGCAGGATTCGTCATAGTTTCTGCTAGTAGGTTTATGCTAATATTCGATAGACTATTTTCCAAACGTTATGGGTACTCGTGGTCCCGTCAATTCTATGAATAATATTTTATTCCCTGATACGTCTCTAGTGTGGTTTAGCTGGTAGGTTGCTCATGTATTAAAAGTAATAGATCACACTTTATATTATTTCTATAGTCACCCACATAGGAAACACACTATGAGACAACGATTTATCATCTAAATCTCTATCTACTTATTCTATAGTGAGTAGCTTCCCAACGATATATGTTATTCATAGTCTTATGCTTTTAATGTAAGTGTTGCTAATATTCAAGTCTATACAGATTGGGGTTTCAGGATTGTATTCTATCTCCGTACCATAAGCAGCTATCATCTATAACCCCCWACGATTGTGTGAATTTACCATTTAATAGAAAATTTTCTTTTGGGATGAAGTCGCAGTTTATACATATATGTGGTCTATGCCATGTTTTGGAGGTAATTCARCGTTGTATATGTTAGGAGATAATTTCAATCAACCATTTTAGACGTTGTTTACTGACTAGAGGTTAGATGCTGCATATCATATCAAGAACTTAGCTTGGTTTTCGTTCATGTATGAATCTCCCAAACGACATTCGAATTTATCTTTCCCACTACTATCAGTCCAAAAGACTATAGGTTCCMTTCCTTTCTTGAATTCTCTATTTTTATAGAGAAAGATCATGTCTTTTAAATTATGATTATTACCTGTTGGTAGCATTAGAATTGGTAGCAGTAGAATTGGAGAGTTTCCCCCCTGACTCCATCGACTAAAGAACCCATCYCACCAATTTATGTATTGTATTCAAGTGAAATAAAGAAATTTTGCCCTGTTTACATAAAATGGTTTCATCAAACCAAATTGTTTGATCAGACTCTTTTAACTCAGCGTAAATTATCGTCATAGTAATATATTATGATTTTCATTTTATATGATATCTATGATGATCTTCATAGGTAATATACTATTAGTCATTATTTTACCATCAAAATCGCCATTTACATATTTAATGGTGAATAGCTCATCAATTATGTCTGTTTTCCACAGTGTAACGCTTTTTATGGCTGCTGCCTCATAGAGGCGAAGCCACTATGTCATCGAGTTGTGTAAGTAAGTCCGTAAYAATAGATAAACTAGATAAACGTAAAAATAAATAAACTTCACGGACCAATCACGGCTTAAATAATAAAATTTCCYTCTTACCGAAGAGTAATCGATGCGACATCGAAGAAATGACGACAWATGGAACCTGATTGTTTATGAMAAGTAAGCCGTGTTTTCATAAACTTCAACCATATYATTTATCACAGCTTTCATTTGGTATTTGTATACGGTAAAATGAAAGGTTTTGTAGGTGTTATTCAAATTTTAGGCCGATGTTTGGCCAATGGCTGACCTCAGATAAAAAAATGCAGATAAAACAATATCAGCCTCTTCGGACGACAATTGAGCCTCTTCGAAGAATAATTGAGCTTCTTCGGAAGATAATTGAGCCTCTTCGAAGAATAATTCAGCCCAATAGTGGGATTGATAGTATCTCCTTAAWATTCATACCAATTTATAGTACTTTGCACTGTTGTATTTTATATCTTGTCGTTTTTAGTGCCTACTACAAAGTTAGCAGACACTATTGTCATCGGGTKGTGAAATTAACTCTGTCACGTGTATAAACTATCGGTAAATAAGCWAAGCATATTTTCATAAYTTATACCTGTTAACCGCCAAAACAGAATCACATATGAAGTAGAAGAGACCTCAAGGGAAAATTGGCGTCGTTGTCGTTATTGTCGTTAAGGCATTTTTGAGTCTTCATGGTATTTTAATGTCCAACATAAAGTGTACCTAACTTCAGACACACTTCATTTAGTATTGATTCTACATAAAGTGAATGTTTTACAATAACTTGAAAATATCTCACGCGCTGATTGTTTATTTAGCGGAGCACCATACTTAAGGAAAAATGGTAAACCATCGAGTTGACTTTTCATGGCTTGGCTGACGTCACTTCCGTCCGTCCGTCCGTCCGTACAAACGCCCGTGTAAACGACACAGGAATCCCGCTTGATTTCAAAGCAAAACTACTCACAAATGCGGCTCTCAAATGCACAGAAAAAATCGCTTTAGGGCAAGTTATAGACMAAAAACAATTTAAAAAATTTTCACGTAGTCAAAGATGGATCAAGAAGCGTTCTTCAAGAAYTCAGGTGTGTGTTGTTTAGCAAACAATCGTATATTATTATTATCTTTTTGGACAAGCATTTTTCTCGAAGAATCTGAACAAATTAAGTAACGATGCCGTTTAGAACGATAGCACCCAACGGCAATACATGCGCAGTTAAGATTTCTATAATTGGCTTTCTATAATATCCAAGCTCTCTGATTGGCCGGGAAAAAAACGTCATTGTATTTTTTACGGAAAAACGCCGAAATAGTACCGAATTGTCATTCCATTTACCAAAGATACATTGGAACTATTGCCCGAATTTTTTCATAGACCAATCATATGTGGGGAACACTCGGAAATCTATTTTGTGATGTTCCCCTTATACGATTTGTCTCAAACTCGCCTATGTTATCAATCGTTGTTCAACAAGTCTGCTCGCCAATTTTTGGCAACTATACCGGACTTGTATAAGAACAAGAGCGAAAATAAGTTTGAATTTGGCGCTTTTCGAATTTAAACCAATAAGATTGAAAAATATAATTTAATTMACACTGCCGTAATCCAAATCGTAAACGGCTGCSCATGCCGCGGGCCTATTGTTCTCGCTATCGTTCTAAACGGCWTCGTTACTTAAAGACTTTCTCTCAAAACTTTTTATATTCTATAGATAAGCTTAATCTATTTTAATGCTGGAGGAAATATAACAGGGAGAGTATATTACGACAATAACTATTCGTCCTTTATTTAACTTTAATTCTAATTAGGTAAGCATATTTTCAGCTCACCTTAACCAGTTTTCAAGTCTGTTTTTTAGTCTTGATTTGTCCTAAATCTCCAGATTATCGATTTCAATGAAAGACATCTGAAGTAAATTTCAATAAACTTGATATTGTATTGGATTATCTGTAGTTATCTTTCGTTTCTTAATTTTCTAAGTAAAAGAGATTCAAAGCCTAAAACTGTCGGCCTTGGAAAACTTTGTCGAAGAATGTTCCAAGAACAAAACCAGCCCCTGGGGGTGGTGGTGAGTTGTGTACTCGCGCCCAAAAACAAACAAACAAACAAACAAACAAACAAACAAACAAACAAACAATATAGTGCATTTCGATTTGATTTCACTGCATGGTTTTTTATTATGAGAGAAATTAGTTATCTTCATCTCGAATAAAAAATAATTGAAGATTTTTTCCCCGATCTTACTTTTACCTTCCAGTTTCCGATTCAAATTGTTTCCCTGTGACTTCCGTATCGGGAGCTCCGCTTTTAGGCAGTGCCTAAATATATTAACATCAAAAGAGGACAGACAGATAAAGCTGACATCAACGAGCGCGTGCTCTTTCCGTTGGTTGTTTTGATTGCTAAAAATTAGACGTTTTTATTGCTTTTATGTCTGTCCTCYTAGTGACGATAAATTTCGTCATCAAGTTGTTAAAATAGTATGYACTACCTTGACAATTTGGTGACGCAGTTTTAATATCGTCATTAGAGGACAGACACATAAAAAACTGATGTCTATTTGTTAAGTTAGTGATAGAAGGTCACATTTACTCGGCASTAGTTCATTCGGCACACATCGCTCACACACCTTGCTGACAATGGATAAGAAAGAGATCAGTCTATTGTTGGAAATTACCGATATCACGCCTTTCTTGAATACAGGAATAAAATTATAACGATAYGGCGAAAACATAAATTTGGCAACTATCAACAAAGCAACAGCAAGCCATGTCTTGAACATTTCTTTTTGGAAATAAGAGAATCAGAGAGGAAACTTTAGGAGAGGAWTATGAGCCATCCACTCTCCAAACCTACAGGAATGGGCTACAAAGGTACTTTCTGGAGAGAAAAGTGGAGAAAACTTTGACATTGGAGAGAATAACGACTTGAAGAAAAAACTGGCCTCCTAGAAGAAACAACTCAAAGCATCTGGAAAAGGCAGTCGACCAAACGAAGCCCATCCTTTAGATGATGAACAGATAGAAAATTTGTGTCAAAGTGGAGTAGTTGGCCTAAAGAACCAACGGCAACTCTTACATCTAATCTGGTGGAACAATACACGAATGCTTGGGATGAGAGGACGACAAGAGCAACTAWTGCAAAGTTCAGGACTTTAGAGATAGAGGGGCTTACTTTGAGTATACAGAGAGGTCTACCAAAACAAGAATTGGCGAAACAGAAAATCCAAAGTCCAGAAGAAAGTACAACAACAAAATTTCAAAGGAAAGGGCGACGAAAAAGATCCTTACCTGGCGCTCTAGACCTATCCAAGCCACACATCAGAAGAAGTTGATGTCTTTTACCTGCAGTCAATTGAAAATCCGAAAAGCTCTTTATGGTACAAAACCCTTGCTTTGAAGAAAGATGGTCTTGGAAATATCATGAAGAACATGGGTCAAATTGCTGGATTTCAAAATGTGGGAAACTTCACTAATTCATCTGGTCGAAACAACCATTCAAAGTCTCCGTGGCCATTACGATCCCTTGACAATATCAGAAATGACCGGCCATGCAAATCCAAGTAGTATTCAATTGTACAGTCACAACCCTTTGGAGACTCAGAGAGCGATGTATGACAGACTGGCCTACAATTCATCGACTAGCACAAACACTACTACAGTCATCCAGACTTACAGCAACTCAAGAGAGGAGAAAGCGAACGAGAACCGCATGCTGTCAAATTTGCTGTCAAATTCGACACTTAATAACTGCCACATAAAGATTCATTCTAACAAATTGTGACTTTAACTTTTTAGGAAAAACATTCCTTTTGTGTGAAAAAAGAAACAAAAACACTTTAAAGTGTGTTTTCAATCATTTATATTTTTAAAAAATCGATTCGTAAACAATGAAAAATTTTTTCAATAAATTACTCTATTATATAACTTATAGTACATTCAACAAAATTACTCGACTCTGATTGGTCGAGAGGAGTACAATCATAGTGTTAATTGTACTGCGTAGGAGTACCGAATTAAGTCGCTATGGCAACACGGCCAAAACAATGTCAAAACAATTTTTTCTATCATTTTGTACTTATGAAACATATAAATAAAATTTTAAAGCCGTAAGAACTAATCTTTTTTATGCATTTCAGTTTCGCGATGGACTGAAAATCGGCCGCCAAATAGACAAAGATGAACGGCGTCGCTTCGCATTTTTTACTGGAATTTTGTTGAGTGAACTATAAACAAAAAATCGCACGACCTTCTCGTACATTTTGGAATTAATAGACACTCGTAATCTTTTGAAAGTTCTTTAATTGCACTCGTGTCTATTAATTTCCAAATTGTACTCGAGATCGTGCGATTACCTATACATATAGTGGTATACCGAGTGGTATCACAGCGATAACAAGTTTTGACACGGGAAAACGTGTCAAATGTGCTGTGCACATTGGATACTTTGAATAGAGTACAAGACTATTTGGGATTTAGTCATTGTAAGACAGAAGAAAGTCCGTGGATTCGGTTTGAATATTTTTTACGGTCAAATTGAACCAGCATAAACGAGTCTTGTTCGCAAACCCCAAAGCAAGCCTCCGTCTCTCTGAGAACCAGTGTTTTGGTGGCTCCATCGGCTCAAAAACACCACACAAAACATTATTGAACAGAAGATTCTCCATCT